CTCTACTCACAGTCTTCGTCAACATATCGATACCGTTGTCATCTGTATGAATCTTCTCAAGAAACAACGCCTTGGACTCCAACACATTCCGAATCCAATGATATCTCACATTAATATGTTTAGACCGCGAATAGAATGTGGAATTTTTCACCAAGTGAATAGCGCTCTGGCTATCACAATAAACCACATACCTCTCTTGCTTCATGTCAAGCTCTTGTAGAAACTTCTGCAACCAAAGTACTTCCTTACAAGATTCAGTGGTTGCGATAAACTCTGCCTCTGTAGTAGACAAAGCAACACACTTTTGCAACCTACTCTGCCATGAAACTGCTCCCCCTCCATAAGTCATCAAGTAACCAGAAGTAGACTTCCGACCATCAAGGTCACCCGCTATGTCAGCATCTGTATATCCATCCAACATGGTCTTCCCATTGCCAAAGCAAAGGCTCAATCTGGAAGTATCCCTAAGATACCTGAAAATCCATTTCACAGCATTCTAATGCTCCTTACGAGGGTTGGAGAAAAACCGACTAACAACACCAACTGCATGAGCTATGTCTGGCCTTGTGCAAACCATCGCACACATCAGGCTGCCAACCGCCGAAGCATAAGGAACCTTTTTCATCTCTTCCTTATCTTTCTCACTTTTAGGACACTGCGTTTTGCTTAGCTTAAAATGTCCCGCAAGTGGAGTCGAGACTTCCTTAGCACTTCTCATGTTAAACCTATCAAGAACCTTCTCGATATACTTCTCTTGAGATATCCAAATCTTCCCATTCTGTCTGTCACGAGAAATCTTCATCCCAAGGATCTATCTAACCGGACCCAAATCCTTCATCGCAAAGGACTTATTCAACTCCTTTTTCAACCTGGCAATCTTTGCAGTATCATGACCAACAATCAACATGTCATCGACATAAAGCAAAAGAATTATAAAATCACCATTAGAGAATTTCTTCACAAACACACAGTGATCGGTTATAGTCCTTTGATATCCCTGCCCCCTATCATAAAGGCATCAAACTTCTTGTACCACTGCCTCGGAGCTTGCTTCAACCCATACAAGCTTGTTGAGATGACATACAAGCTTCTCTTTCCCCTTCTCCTGAAACCCATCTGGTTGCTCCATGTAAATCTCTTCTTCCAAATCAGCATGTAAGAAGACTGTCTTCACATCAAACTGTTCAATCTCAAGATTCAAGCTGGCTACTATCCCAAGCACAACTCGGATTGAAGACATCTTTACAACAGGAGAGAATATCTCATCAAAGTCGACACCCTTTCTCTGATTGAATCCCTTCACAACCAATCTAGCTTTGTACCTCGGTTGCGAGCTGTTCTCACTTGTTTTCAGTTTGAACACCCATTTATTCTTGAGTGCTCTCTTGCCCTTAGGCAGCTTCACCAGGTCATACGTGTTATTCTCATGCAAGGATTTGATCTCATCTTGCATGGCTGTTAACCCCTGATATTTCTGCTCATGACTAAGAACCTCTTCATACGACTCTGGTTCTTCCCCATCAGTAAACAACAAATAGGCATGAGCACTGTACCTGGTGGAAGGTTTATTGTCTCTGGTGGACCTCTTTGGCTGAACAGGAGGTGATGAAACCGATGGTGTCTCTGTTTCAGAAGTAGGATCATTATCAAACTCACCATTTTGTTGTCTCAGCTCCCCCTTCAGGAGAATCATCTGATTGTGGAGGAACTAGATCTAGATCAACAGGAATCTCAAGTGAAGATTTTGGCATCTCGCCCTTTCCTATATCATCAATGGTCTGGTCTTCAAAGAAAATCACATCTCTGCTTCTGAAAACTTTCTTCTATACAGGATCCCAAAGTCTGTACCCAAAATCATCATTGCCATACCCCAAGAATATACACTACTTGGATTTTCCATCAAACTTCGACCTTTCGTCTTTGGGAATATGAACAAAGGCACGACAACCAAAAACTTACGAATGTCCAAATGAGACATCTTTCCCTGTCCAAACTCGTTGTGGTAGATCACTATCCAATGAAACTGAGGGAGATATGTTGATCAAATGAAAGTACAAAGTACAATGCTCCACCCAACGACCTATCTTTCATGTAACATACATCTGTATGAACTAACTCTAGAGGGCTGGACTTTCTAGATGGAGGAGAATTTTAAAAGGAAACCCTATGTTGTTTACCATAGATACAGTCAACACAAGGTTCTAGAGTACCTTTCACCTCAGGGAGAAATTGCTTCTTACAAAAAATATGGCGCCCCTTGACACTAATGTGTCCAAGCCTTCTGTGCTAGAGATCGATGGAGGCATTGTGAGTTGCATTCACCTCTCCATTCTTCAACTTTGCATTCAACACATACAAAGAGTTCAACTTCTTTCCTCTAGCAATAACAAGATTCCCTCTGGTAATTGTCCAACGGCCACCACCTTCAGTGCTATGATAACCCTCATCGTCAAGTTTTCCAACGAAAATAAGGTTCAGACACGTATCCGGTGCATGTCTGACATTCTTCAAGACAAGAGTACAACATGTATTCGTTACTAATGATACCTCTCCCATTCCGATAATATCACATAAGGCTTGATTGCCCATTCTTACATGACCAAAATCTCCAGGTGTGTAAGAGGTAAAGAAGTGTCTGCGAGGCGTCACATGATAAGACGCACCTGAATCACCGAACCAATCACTGTCGTGACTCGCAACATTAGTTGTATCATCATCACAGTACACAAATATATCACTGGTAGTTACTACTGCAGTAGTGTCATCATCACTTGATTCATCCTTCTGGTCTTTACCTTTTCTCGCTGCGAGTTCTCTCTTGAGAACCCTACACTCCCTCTTAAACTGCCCATTCCCTAGACAATGGTAGCACACGACATCTTTCTTGGATTTAGACCATCTTCTGGGACTTGTCATTCCAATCATGTGGCCTTTTGCTTTTACTTCTCCCTCTTCTATCTGACTTTTCTGTCACCGGAGCCTGCGACTCAGACTCAATACTCTACTCTTTTCTTCTGACTTCTTCATTCATCAAAGCCTCTTTGACCTGATCCAAGGTCAAGACACCATCCTGGGTTGAATTACTGATTGACACTACCAAAGTGTCCCAACTGTCTGGAAGAGAACTAAACAATAACAAAGTCTGCACCTCATCATCCAACTTTAAACCTACATTAACTGCCTCGTTCAACAAACCCTGAAACGAACTCAAGTGCTCATTCATGCTAGCACCATCTTTGTACCTCAACCTGATAATCTGTTTCAGCGCAGATGACTTATTGATGCCGGACTTCTTCCAGTACATATTCTGGATTTTCTCCCAAAGTTCATCAGCTTTTATTTCTCCCGAAAAGTGATGAAGCACACTTTGATCAATCCACTGTCGAATATTACCAACAATTTTCCTGTGCATATCAGCCCACTTTTTATCAGTCATATCACTTGGCATACCTTCATCTTCTAGAACAGGATCAAACAAATCTTTGCAATACAACAAATCTTCCATTCTAGACTTCCACATATGATAATTGGATGAAGTCAATTTAATCATCATACTAGTACCCGATGACTCTTCTATTTTATTGTGAAACACCTCAACTACCGAACCGTAGCTCTAATGCCACTGTTGTGGCAGAAAGGGTATAAACACAACAAACCAGCAGAAACGATTCCCGAGAAAAACTCCTTTCCTATGACCAATAAAATAGGACAACCAAACAAGTAAAATAATTCAAGAACTGATAAAATAAAGGAGGCACACGAATTTACGTAGAAATCTAAATCGAAAAAAACCACGAGACTGTAACAATAGTCAAATCTCCACTATCACAATAATGGGAAACAATCTTCACCAACCGGTGAATACACAGGACTTCACCCAAAGGTGGATTACAATAATACTCTTCCATACAGACCTATCACAAAGTAGGATTGGAAGGATCTTACCAAAAGAGAGCTAAACTGAAAACTAAATCGGGGGATTTGTAAATCATGTTGAGAGGAACACACATCCAAACTTGCACCAATAACTGACTCTGTTTCGTTACCCGATCAAAACCTTAAAGTGTAACAATTTCTTCTCGTAACACCAAAACTCCAGAACCCTACTTTTCTCTCCCTTTTCTCTCGCACAAAACCAATGTGCGGCTACTGCTTTTCTTTGGCTAAACTCACGGCCAAACTCTTGCACCAATTTGTACAGCTACCTTGATTTATATAAAGCAAAAAAAAAAAAACGAAAAACCAAAACCAAACTATAGAGGGTTTTGTTCTCCTTGTCAAAAACCAAAACCAACTTGGTTTGGTTTTATTTCCTTTCTCGTTGGCCCAATTGGAGGGAAACCGGGCCCAACATCTTCCGACAACATCAGCGCAATAATTCGAGTTTTGAGTTTTTAAACAGCCTCTCTTTTCTCGAAGAAAAAGAACAGCCTCTCTATTCATAATCTATGAGTACAAAATGTACCATTTGGTAGCTATTAACATCCCTTTTACCCTATTAAAGCAGAAGACATGAAGCTTATGTGGCAACTAAGTATGCATCTGTTTTGGCTCCAATGCACCATATTTCAGATTTCAGGAGTCTTTTTGCCACGTGTAAGTCTCTTTTAATTAGAAGTTATATAATTTTTTTTTAAAAAAAAAAACACATGTTTTACTACAAATAAGGATCAGTTACATTTCAAACGAATGGATATATTAATTCAAATTCAAATGTCCAATCGTATAGTTTTGCAGGGCTTAATATAAACAAAAAATAAAAATACCTAAATCCAGCAATTAAGAATAATGCCTTATAAATTAATTATTTATTATTCCCTTATAACCTCAGATTTATAGGTATATTTTTTTAAGCCCCAAATCATAGCATAAATGATATATACGCCAAATTAATTCCTCAAAAAATAGTAATTCAATTAGATTTTAATAAAATAGTAATTTAGAAGGGGCGTCCGGGCATCTGCTTGGGCCAAACATCTAGTAGAAATTTACGAAAACTTGTCAAACATTAGTAAAAAACGCACACGTATAAGGTGAGATTTAGTTAAACACATCCTCAAATCATTGTCTTGACGACTTTCAAAGTTGAGTAAAGATAAATGATAACTCTCTTCCAACAATTTTTACTCACCCCTATCTTATCATTATTATGTTCTTTCCCGGCCAAAATCTTTTACCATGTTTCCACCATTTCCAACCCCTCCTCCGCTTTTGGCCACATGAAATTCACAATGAGATACAATGCCCCTAGTAAAGTTTGCTAGTCAAATGGAAGTAGGTCAAAAAGGATGATCGAAGTTTCTGCATGAAGTTTAGTTTTGCAGAACGAATACTACACAAAAAAAAAATTCTTTAGATGGCCTTCTTCTAGCTAGTTTTATATAACTAGATACAAAGAGATGTGGACAATCCAGAAAAAAACTAATATGTAATTACTACTGAAGAATTTATACATTTCTAATCAGACAATGCTTTTTTCTTCTTGATGAATCTTCTCCATGGCCAATTCAGGGGAAGAGGCAGAATCCTCTGTTTTTTTGTACTTGTACCACTTTGCAGACACCAAGAAGTAGATGAAATTAGCCAATTCCAAAGCTGCAAGCAAGTAATAAAAGTTATCCAATCTTCCTTTATTGAGATCCTCAGCCAACCAGCTTTCTCCATTGCTTTTGCTCGTTATACTCTGCACAATTGACGACAAGAAGCTGCTCAAGTAACTCGAACCCGCGAGGCCAACAAACACGAACGCCATCGCGATACTCCTCATGTTTTCGGGACATTGCTGGTAGAAGAACTCATTCATACCAATGATGGTAAAAGCCTCAGAAAGTCCTGATAAGACCAGCTGCGGGACTAACCACAAACCCGACATTGATGAAATCGCGCCTTTTCTAGGCTCAAACCCGAGTGCCGGCTTCGTGAGAGCAATGTGTCTCCGATTAGTCTCCACCACCCCGGCAATAACCATCGTGATGACCGACATTGCCGCGCCAATCCCCATCCTTTGCAATACGGTAATCCCGCCTTCCACCCCGGTTTTTCTCGTCATCCAGGGGACGAGCGCCCTGTCAAAGATCGGGATCCATATTGTAAGGGTTAACATGGCGAAAACGATGTAAGAAGCTGCGGGGATCCTGAAACTGCTGGAGCGGACAAGACGCCTGTCGGATTGGAGGGCTTGGAAAACAACGTAATTCTGGAGTTGAACTACTGAGATGAAGTAAATGATGACTGCAATCCAGACAGGCATCACTTTCAGCAAGCATTTCACTTCCTCAATGTTTTGGATTGTGCTGAGTTTCCATTTGCTTGCTGCTGTTCCATCTTCATTTATCTTGTCTTCTGGTGTTATGATTGCAGCTTTGTTCAGAAACCTGAATCGATAACACAAAATATATCCATCTTGTTAACAACAACCGTAAACTGATTCTCGGTGGAACAACTATTCGTGTGGTAAAATGTGCATTTGAATGGTACATCAATCAGTTTAAGGTTAGAGATTAATTAGGCGGAAAATGGTGAGGTAAGCAATGACGCCGACACAGCATATGGAATGTTTCATGTATTTATTAACTGCAATAAAAGAACCGCGACAAACTGATGGAACAATCTTCATTTCTGAAGTAAGAGGAAATACAGAAGAGTGTATTTTCTTTGTTAAAAAAAAAAAAGAAGAGTGTATATGTTTTTAGAGAGCGTGATTATATAGAGTGTAACAGGATAGTAACTCATGGAAAAATGTTTTTAGAGACCATGATTATATAGAGTGTAACAGGACAGTAACTCATGGAAAAATAAAAACACCGCTCCACTAAGTTCATAACTAGCACTATAATAAAGAACGGTTAAATAAACACGTGCTGCATCAGTTATTATTTCATTTCACTACTCATTTTTACCGTATTTTACCCCAGCTCCAAATGTATAAAAACACAGATTTTTCCCCAAAATCTTCGCAATATAGCTGGGTAGTTCGGCCACAGACAAGGGGAAATGGGGGTAGTTCACACGTTTCTGGAAAAATGAGCAGTAATTGGAGTTTGGCCAATTTATTTTCATATTCACTCCTTAAAAAGATTTCTTTTTTATTATTTTGGGGAAGAAACATCAACATTTTCCATCAAAGAAATTCTTTCGCATATTTACTCTTTTCCATCCAAAGCAAAAGTGTATCTCTTAAAAAAAAACATTCAACACGTTTGCCGTTGCAATTAAACACAAAATGACACAATTTAGAAGAGTCTATCATTAATCACATCCTCATATTAAAAAGTAAGACTATCCTCTCACACTCTTTTTTCTTCCCTACTGTTTGATTGCAAGGTGGCAATTTTTTAGGTGGTGTTCTTGATTAAAAAAAATAAAAAAAAATCCCAAATATTTACATCATTTAACACGTATCACACGAAATTTGGCAAATTACCGAATTTCTTTTACTTAGTGTGATGTATTCATTAAAACTCTACATTGCTTATCTATTGTGAAAACAGGTCCAAATACAGCTTAAGACAAAACAGAATAACCAGATAAGTGCACTTTAAATTCTTTTTCTTTTGCCATAAATACGTAATAATTGTTTTGTTTATACTATGAACAGCAAAAGTGCAGGGAAAAAAAAATTAATAAAAACAAATTACGAACAAATTGAGTAAATTACCTGAATTGATCCGTATAAGGAAGCTTTGCATTGATAGTGCTATCAGCAGAAAACTGATTAAACAGAGACATCTTGGGATCCTCCGGCAGCTTCAACTTCCTCTTCCTCACGGCGGAAACCACCACCTGAGCCACCACAATCAACGGACTTCCTTCCGGCAAGACTATCACATAAAGCCTCGTACCCAGATAAAACAGAGCAGTGGACAAGAACATCAGAAACGTGGGAATCCCCAAACCGATGGACCAGCTGGCATTCGATTGGACGTACACGATGACCGTCAGTGAGATCATCATCGCGAAAGTGTACGTCAGGTAATACCAATTGAAGAAACTCTTGATCCCTCTCTTGCCGAAATCGGTTTTCGGGTTGAATTGATCCGCCCCGAATGCCAAATTGCACGGCCGGATCCCGCTCGCCCCGATTACTAACAGAGCAAATGCGAAAAACAGGAACACGATTTGGCCCGCCGACGCGCCGACGCAATGGGTGGCGTCGTTGGCGCACGGCGGCGGGTGGAGACCGGAAACCGCCGCGGTTAGTGTCAGTATTAGCATCCCCTGCAATTTACACAGGAGAAAATTTATCCTTTTTTTTTTTTTAATAAAAAAAAATGAGAATCGAAAATTTGGGTTCTCTAAGGATTACGTTTTTGTTTTTGTGACATACCAGAAATGAAGAAACGGAAGCGAAGCCGAGAGTGTTGTAGCGGCCGAAATAAGTGTCACAGAGAAAAGCGCCGACTAGAGTTCCGATGTTACAAGTTCCATTGAAGACGTTGAGGATGTTGGTTGCGGTTATGGTCTTCATGTGGAAAACAGAGGTTAAATAAATCAACAGATTGGATGAAGTTCCAATTGTTCCAAGCTTCTCAAACGTTTCATTTCCTGCATTCATTCCATTTGAAACAAAATTCATCATAAACTCAACCCAAACACACACACACACACACACACACACAATACAGACAGACAGACAGAAATTGTACCTATGACAAAAGGCATAGCCTTGATTCCTCTGTATTTGGGTTCTGGATTTGAGCCCGTCTTCAACTGCTCTTGCTTCTTCTTCATCATTTTTTTTTTTCTTTTGCTTGGAATGTAAACAGTACAGTGATTCTTTCTGGGTTTAAACTCTGCAAAACTACAGAAAGGCAACAAAAAGAAAAACAAAATATGGAAGAAAATTGGACAAATGATAATAATCGCCGAAGTGGGTACCTCTCTACAAAGAAATAGATGTGGGGAATTTATATACAATGGAGCCTAACAATTACAGTAACAAAATCGGCGCAATGAATCCAGACTTTCTATTCATTTGTACCGCTAGTAATTGTTTTCGAGTTTACATATGTGATGACCGTATCCATGTGTACGAATTCGGTTTGCATGCATTTAATGGTTTTTATATGTGACCGAATTTATTTTATTTTTTTCCTAAATAGTTTTTTTTTTCTTTTTTTTGTTTTTGATTTTTAGTCTCATTTTTTTAATTTGAACTTGTTCACGTCTGATCATCAAGTATAACTTACGATAATGAGAGTGAAACCATTTTTTTTTATTACTCCCTCTGTCCCAAAATTATTGTCCAGTTTGAGATTTTATTTTTAGTACAATTTGAACTAGAAATGAAAACCCAAACTGAATAATAATTATGGGACGGAAGGAGTATTTTTTTTTGACAAAGGATCTGTTTCTATATTATTACGAGGAGGATAAGATTCAGACCAGTTAGTTTTAAGTGCGTGAAGACCCAAAAAAAGACTAGAATCTATGTCTCATTATTTTGTGCATTTATGTTGCTTAATTTTTTTACTTTAAAATGACATTGCATCATTTTGGTAGGGAATGTTTTGAAAGATAGTAATTTAAAAGGAAGATGTAAAAAGTTGAATTGCATAGTGGAGATGCACGTGTTATTATTATTATTTTTTTACTATTATTTGTTATTATTGTCACTAAAAAATGTTATACCGTTTGTACTTTGAATTTTGTAGTACCTTTTTATTTTGAAGCCAAAATGTGATTGAAGAAACACATGGTTACAGGCTGACATTTGTTTTCAATTTTGTTAACATGTAGTTTTTGTTGTTCTTAAATTATTTTGGCTTTTCTCGATATTGCTTCATGAGTATTTTCTAACGTGCTCTTTTTTTTTAATACTATTTAAGAATCGTACCTTTGCGTAGTCATTGTTTTTATATTTCAGCTTTTATATACTTTCGGTGGGTCCTTGCAATATTACCGTTGTAGAAAAATGATTTGTAAAATTATATTCCCTCCGTCCCATAATTATTGTCCAGTTTTACTAAAATGAAAGATTTTATTTTTGGTCAAACTTAACCATATTTTACCTTAAACAACCGGATATACCCCTACATAAGTGATTGTTTAACCACTAAGATTTTATGGATAATATTTTTTACGAAGGACAAATGAGTAACTTGATCCATAAAAAGTCAAATTGGACAATAATTTTGGAATCAAATTTTTTGGGCAAAATGGACAATAATTATGGGAGGGAAGAGGAGTATATTTTTCTGTAACAGATAAATGTGAATAATATTGGTTTTCAACAATATGATTTTGGGGGTGGTAAAATGGATTATATACTTTTGTTCGTAGATGACCATATCAATAAACTTTTATATTTCTTGCGCTTAAACTTGGACATATTGAATTATTTTTGTTCACTGATTATTCGCTATAAATAATCTACAACGATCTTTTTTTTAAAAAAAAAAAAAAAATTCACTCTAGCCGATTCCACTTAAATATGAATAAATCTTGCTTGATGTATACTTTGTCGAGAATTGAACCCGCTTTAGTTTAATTTGATTATTATTCAATGGAACTGATTGTGCAGACTCAAAAGGTTTTAATTTTTTATGGTTTATAAAATATAACGGTGTCTCATATCGTATTGATTGTTATTCGATTGGAATCTTAAAAGGACCTACCATCGTACTTTTTAAAGATGGCATGACCAGTGGATTCTGTGGACTCTAAATTTCAGACCGACATAAAATAATTGATGATTTGGAAGGAGGAAGAAAAGAAAAACAAAAACTTGTCCATGCCACAACTGAAAATGGAACCTCCACTATGTACATGATGACAATTATCAATTCGAATTGGATTACATGTGGAAGGTTTTCTCAACGCGTTGTTGTTTTTGTAAGGCCGAAAATCATCGTGGAATGAGATACTTACAGTTAGGTTATACCATAATTGATGCGTTTGCTTTCAATATAGTGACATCTGATTAAGAAATCTATATGCTAGTTTAGTAGTCTTTTCGTCCCAAAACAAAAGTTTTGTTTGTTGTATTATTTTAGGGTTAAAAAAGTGGTTTAATTTATTCATAAAAGATCAATAATCTCACATGCACAAATAAAATGATGTTTAAGAATCGAGAGTGGGTATGCCCTCAGGACGAAAAGTATATAAAATATAAAAGTAGCCAATGACAGTGTAATATGATACTTAAAAGAAGAAAAAAAGTGTAATTTTCTTTTGTCGGCCAAAACTATCTTTTCCGTAAGAATTAACGTTTGAAACTCAGCAATTCTTACAAAAAGAACAATAAATTAATATTGTTTTTCTACTTTTGAAAAAAATTAGAAATTTTATAGTATAAGGGGTTGTGGGAGGGATTATATCTCCATTAATATTCTTTTATTTGGTCCAAAACAAAAGTCACATCGTATTTCTTTTTTACATTTAGCTCCTGCATTCTCTTGGAATTAATATGAGCGGAGGCAATTTCAATACCGAGGTAACGATACTACTAGTACATGGAATTCCATCATAGTTTTTTTAGGGTAAATTCCACGAGTACTCTTTCCTTCTCGAAATTATTGTCCAGTTTGGATTTTCATTTATCGTGTAAATTATACAAATACGAAAATCCAAAAAAACAATAACCTTGGGACAAAAGGAGAATATCTTTGTTTCTTTGTTTTAAAAATCTCATCATATTTGATAACTAAATATTTATTTTTCCACCAAAGAATATACAGAGTGCTATGTTAAGAATTCATCATAAAAGACATACTTTGATCTTCCAGGTAATTAATTTAGAGAGTAAACTATAATATTCCATCCGTCCTAAAAAAAAGTCTAATTTTAAAAAATGAAAATATTAGAAGAGTTAATCATTCTAATTGAAAATTTAATATAAACAGTTGGATAAGATATATATCATGCATATTTACCAATTTTATAGAAAATTTTAGATGATTCTTGCAAGATTTTGATCCCAAAATTGGAATATTTTTCTAAAATGGGCGGAGAACAATGTATATTTTGTGTATACCCAAACTTCCAAAGTATCTATGTAAGATTCAATTCTGATTGTGTACCTAGGATAACATTCCTTCTGATGTTTTACAGAAAGTGAATCTAAAATGGAACAGAAAATGATTACTTAACTGCCCAGCTCGAATTAGGGTTTTTATCAATTCTTCACTTCCAAATCCAGCAGTCTTTTAACTTCAAACCAGACGTTTTTATTAATAGAGGATGATGGATGAACTTTTAAGTTTGGTACTTTTTCTTGGCTCTATTTTAAACCAAATTTTTTTGACACAAAAATACAAATGAAGGCTACGCCGAAGAGAATCGAAATTTTGGGGAATAATTCTAGCCACTTGTTATCAAAAGTAACAGCACATATATTTTGTTTGTTTTACCTATTTAGTAAACCTAGACGATTCTTTTTGTCTTTGCTTCTAACAAGAGTCACATTTAAGTGATTACTACTACCGCCACGTTATTTTGATGCAGCTAATCTTTGTCAATTTTCTTGAAAATTCTTCTTTTCTGCCATCGATTTGACATTTCGATTCATTGTAATAGTAACTTTGAAGTAGTTGCTACAACTTTGACTAATAATTGTTTCGCTAATCACGTACTACTTTAGATAATACTCCCTTCGTCCCATAATTATTGTTCAGTTTGGGTTTTCATTTTTAGTTCAAATTATACTAAAAATGAACTCTTAAATTAGACAATAATTTTGAAACAGATGGAATATTATTATCATCATAAAGTCTTCATAATTTACATGATTGAGTCGATGTTGCATACAAGTAACGGAAAAAGGTTAGTCCACATTCCCTAAGCAAAAAAGTTTTAATGAACTTGTTGCAACTTGTAAGGCATGTTAACTGCCATTTTTACGCCACTCATTCTTCTACTTCACAATTTGATGTTTTTGTTATTCACTCATTTATGAACTTACCAGTTATAAAAGTTTACTAAATATTTGAATAATTCACATACGTCCTGGAAAAATAATTCACATTATGATTTATAAAAAAATATATGTTTTTAAGACAATGTACAAATTACTATTTTTGTTTCAAAATTATTGTCCAATTTAAATTTTCATGTTTAGTACAATTTGAAATTAAACTTAAAATACAAATTGACTATAATTTCAGGATGAAAGGAGTACAATATTGTTTTTTTTTAAAAAAAAAAGGAGAGAGAAAATGTCATTAGGAGTTTAAAATAACGTGTCACAAAATGTTCAAGGTCCTAATCATCTAATCCTTACGGAACCTCCAAAATCCATACGTGAAAAGAAACTTCTTGTGGTCAAGGTTCATACTTCTTACTTTGCAAATGGGACAATCAAAATAAAAATTCAAACTGAAAAGTTATTTTGGGAAAAATATAATGTTCCTGTTGCGTTGCAACATCAAAGCTAAAAAAATACATAGTTTTTTTTCTTTTTGAAAAACGAATTTCATTAAATTTGGTAGAATTCAGTCAGCTCTTTGATACAAATAATCTGGCAGAAAGTTCCTGAGCACATTAGCTGCATTCGAGGCTAAAACATGATCAGCTGCAATCTGCATATCTCCGAAAAGTTCTTCATTTCGCGCGTACCAGAAAGAGTTGCACATGACTCCAAATTATAGCATAGAAATGTCCTCACCACATCTAATTATAGTTCTATGTGTCCCCAAAAAATTGTCCATTCATTTTATCATAGTATAGAAAGTGTAAAAATGTGTTAAACGGGCAAACCTTTTTTTTCCCCCTAAAATAATCCTAATACACGTAAGTCGTAACTTTGATAAGCTATCAATGTATTTCTGGTTAAGTTTTCATCTCACATAAGGAAAATTTCTCTTGATTTTTTTCAAAAAAGTTTTGTCTCGAAAGATTGATTTGATCATACAAATATTAGACTGATGATTAAGCGTGCCCAAATAGTATTAGACTGATCAAGAGAAATTTATTTTTAAAAAAAAATTAAAAAAATCACTCCGGTAAACCCAATTAAATATGTAAAGTAACTCCTTACAAATCTTTTGGTGGAAATTTAACCTTGGTTTACTTGTAATAAATACAATATTTTAATCACTAAACTGTTATTAAAGTTTTTTTTAGACAAAACTAGATGTCTAAATAATTATCCGTTGAGAAAAAACTCTGGGCTTGTTCGGCCAACATTTTATTTTAGTTTTTGTTTTGGTTTTTTATTTGGGTTTGAGATAT